CGTAGGGAGCTTGTAGGATTCATACAGAATTCATACAAAATTTGTACAGAATTCGTACAGAATTCGTACAGAATTCGTACAGCATTCGTACAGAATTCGTTGTGTTGTGTTGTGTTGTTCCCCCCCCCCCCCCTCCGACTCACCGGGGGGGCGGGACCGGCCTCCTCCACTGTGGCGGACGCGGGAAGTGAAGCCCCGGACCCCGGGGGGACCATGCCGGCCTGTACCTTGTCGTTGTTGTTGAACATTATTAATTCTAAAGAATAATTATTGTTGGGACCCCTGGTGCACGGCCCCCCTGCGCCGCCTAGGCCGCAGCTACATTTTCATCATTTTCGTGAGGAAGCCTCAGGTAATTCGATGTGATCAAGATCCGGTTGTTTTGTCCCCCCCGCTTTCCCTTGCAAAAAACACTATAAAATGACATTTCTTGTTCTAATATAATCAAATTTCAAGAATCCCTTGCAAAAAATAAGGTAAAGTGGACATTCGCGCGCGCAAGACGAAATCCTTCCAAAAGCTTAGTGTTCGGAGCGATTTCAACATAAAAACATCAAAAAACTAATGGTTTTTCAAAAAAAATGTCAAAATCTCATCCCGCGCGCTCTTGCGGATTCGTAGGAAACCCAACACTTTTTCAACATTTCTGTCAAACGGGCTTTTGCGAGCAACTTTTTCGAACTTCTGCGACAACGGTTGCGCACCTGCCAGGGCCATCATCCCTGTCAAATAATACCATGCGGGACAGATTCGTTTTTTCTTCGCGCGCGCACGCCGAAATTTCCAAAAACCATTGGGTTCTTAAGAATTTTACCACCGCGCATCATAAAATCACACGAATCGCACCGTAGGTCCTCTCTCTGTCTGCTCTCTGTCTCTGTCTCTGTCTGCTCTCTGTCTCTCTCTCTGTCTCTCTGTATTATGTATGGTATGGCACAATTGCACCATGCTGGGCACATGCGCGCCCCGAATAAGTGACCAAGTTCTGTGGGTGTGTACCCCACGCCAGTGTAGTAGCCACGGTCGTCCGCACGCCACGAAGTGAAGTGTCCCAACGTCATAGGGCGGGAAGCTGGGTTTGGGTGGTCGCGAAGAGTCGTTTGGATATTTGGTAGAGCTTGTAATGCCCCCCCACGAAGTGGGGGTATTGCCTGGTGTCGTATGAAAACCCTGGCACTGGGGAGAACACCACGCGTTCGGGTAAAATGATTGTTGTTGTTGTTGTTGTTGTTGTTGTTGTTGTTGAACATTATTAATTCTAAAGAATAATTATTGTTGGGACCCCTGGTGCACGGCCCCCCTGCGCCGCCTAGGCCGCAGCTACATTTTCATCATTTTCGTGAGGAAGCCTCAGGTAATACGATGTCATCAAGATCCGGTTGTTTTGTTGTAATCCGTTTTCCCTTGCAAAAAACACTATAAAATGACATTTCTTGTTCTAATATAATCAAATTTCAAGAATCCCTTGCAAAAAATAAGGTAAAGTGGACATTCGCGCGCGCAAGACGAAATCCTTCCAAAAGCTTAGTGTTCGGAGCGATTTTAACATAAAAACATCAAAAAACCAATGGTTTTTCAACAAAAAAATGTCAAAATCTCATCCCGCGCGCTCTTGCGGATTCGTAGGAAACCCAACACTTTTTAAACATTTCTGTCAAACGGGCTTTTGCGAGCAACTTTTTCGAACTTCTGCGACAACGGTTGCGCACCTGCCAGGGCCATCATCCCTGTCAAATAATACCATGCGGGACACATTCGTTTTTTCTTCGCGCGCGCACGCCGTCGTCGTCGGCCGCGGGGCCCTGAATAGTAGCCACGGTCGTCCGCATGCCACGAAGTGAAGTGTCCGAACGTCATAGGGCGGGAAGCTGGGTGTGGGTGGTGGCGAAGAGTCGTGTGGATATTTGGTAGAGCTTGCACTGCCCCCCCACAAAGTGGGGGTATTGGCTGGCGTCGCATGAAAACCCTGGCACTGGTGAGAACACTGAGCGTTCGGGTAAAGTGATTGTTGTTGTTGTTGTTGTTGTTGTTGTTGTTGTTGTTGTTGTCGTCGTCCCCCCCGCGACCCGGCCCGCGACCCACCCGCGACCCACCCCGCGACCCACCCGCGACCCAACCGCGACCTGGCCCGCGACCCACCTGCGACACACCGTCGACCCACCCGCGACCCACCTGCGATCCAACCCGCGACCCACCAGCGCCTGCGGCGGGCTCTTTGTATAGCTTGAAGATTTTGCGCCTGCGGCGGGCTTCTTCAGAGCCTTGCAGACTGCAGACGTCCCCACCGCTCCCTCACTCTTATCCGCAACTTTGGGGTGCTACGGTAAGAATGAGAAGAAGAAAGCTAGCACGAATAATAAGAATAATAATGAACATACTGATATCAGTATTACGCATAGAATACTATTCGTAATAATACTTCTAGTAATAAGGAGCATACTAAGAATCATAATACCAATGCAGATAATAGTGACACTGATACTAAGAAGAATCTTAATCAGAGTGAGGGGGCCGAGCGGTCATTCATTGTCCCTCGGTGCGTGGCTTAAGTGC